GTGATGTGTGTTATACAGATCATTCTGGCGTTAAATAGGTGTTCACTGTGAATGGTTTCTGCTATTAGTGAGCAGTTCATTAGAGTATTTCACTTTTACTGCAGGTTATCATGGTGTAAACATGCTAAATTCTATTATAGACCAACAAAAGGATTAGACAGCAGGTGGCGTAGGATAGGATGCATGTTCCTTTAAATGGAATTTTATTTTCACCTTCAACTATAATTATCCATCTGTTAAACCAAAACGTGTTCTGTGTTCAGTGAAATGCATCTCCCTATCGGATCTTCATCTGCAGTTAGCGTTAACACACTGTCCATCCTACAGTCATGGCTGTGTATGGAGGCGTTCCAGATAGTACCTGTTTATTCCCAGACTATGTCGTTCCCTGAACAAAAAATTCGAATTTACAACATACACAGGATAACGGTTGACATTTGCTGGATATTCTCAGGTGGGAGGAATGTGGTCGTTCTTCTACTTTCTATTTATAGTTCTTACAACTTCGAAAAGAAGCTACTTTAAAGAATTGATGGATTGAGGAAACAGTAGCTCAGCTTTTTCCAGAAAAGTTCAGTGGTTTTGACACAAAACAGATCTTCAAAATGCCTCAGCAGCAAATCTCTCTAACCATACTTCTAGATAGAATGGCTTTGTCGCTGGAAGCAATAGAAAGAATACTTGAAAGAATTTAATCAGCGAGTCGAAAATTTTCTTCAAGGTACATGCTGATGGGGACGCAGTGATTGCTACCTGTTGTCTCACCTTACCCTTCCATGTGTTGGACCTGTGGAACCACATCGAATGGACTTCAATACCTTTTGGGATGAATCCCTCCAGAACACCCAACCCTCCTGTCCCTCCCAGTCACAGCATCGAGCTGGTGTTTAAATCTGTGGAAGTCATAGATGGGCTTTTGAAAGCCTGTGTGTTGTAGGAAGAAAGGGAAACTAAAGGTGGTGAGGAGTTCTTGATATCAAGGAAAGAATTGGGGTAGGACAAATGACTTCCTTCTGCGCTATATGATTCTATGAATGACTAGAAGATCATCCAGTGATTTTGGTTTGAACACTGTGAGGAGACCGGGAGACAGAAGTTTGTGAAAACCGGCTCTTAGTTGATTGTGCGGAGCTATTTACTGTCGGATGGGGAATGGGGGTCGTCAGAAACGGAGCTCCAGTATTCACCATCCCCTCTGCACATCAGCCCAGCGCTCTCACACTATTTAGTTAATCTAAGCCATTTGTGGCAGTGGTGTGTATTGCTGTGGTACTTGCTGTTTAAACAAAATATTTATAAAAATCAACAAAAAAAGACTAAAATAAACAAGGGATGTTGGTTCTCCAGAATTCTTTGTAAACTTCTGAGTTTCTTAAACGCGATATTGATTGTGACAATCATCCCTAATTTATTTCACGTGATACAGTTGTCAGATTGAAGCTTTCACAGAAAGTGTACTCCAGATGTGTTCCCTGAATACATTTGTGTATAACTTGATGATGTCCGTTATAAATCACTAACATCATTTAGTGAGGCCATCAGGCACTGTGATCTTTGGTTTACTGGACTCTCAGCTCTAAGGGAAAAAGAGGATAATATTTTTTTTTAAAAAGTCTTGAAAGAAAACCACACATTGGATGTTAAATGTCAACAGCCCCAAACTGTTTACAAGATACAGTGTTATACATAATAGCTTACATATGATATCCACAAAATAAATTTGTATTATCACGCATAGCCCAATATTTAGATAAAGTTAGATTGTTTTGTGGTTTTATTAGAATAAACGTAATGCTGAGAAATAACAGTGTAACATGTCTGCCCTCCATTTATACGGTCAATTCACTCTACGGTATATTCTGTGAAGAGCTTTGAGACGTCTCGAAAACGTGATAAGGCGTCGTATCAAATGCAACGATTATTATTATTTCTTCCCACCGTTCTAAAGAAAATGCAGAACAGTGCCGAGACTGCTGTAAGTTAATGGAAAATCAAAGAGTGATTTTTTTGAGGTATTAATTGTTGTTTGGGGGCAAATGAAGAAGAGAGCATTCTTAATATTCAACGATATATTAACTTTTCCACACTTCAAAGTGCCCAACAATTTACACATCACAAACCCGATTGAATGCTTCAACGTTTGGCAACATTCTAGTAGGATTTACACATCTTCTGCCAAGAAAAAGTGCAGCAAAACTGGGGGCAGAGGCCAGAAAATGGGGTCTTTGGTAGTCGCTGACTTTCCATCAACTGAGATCTTCCTCCTTTGCACACTTTGGCCATTTCTCCCTTAAATGCACCTCACAACCTCTGGAATAATATCTCAGGATACAGTCTATAATAATAATATAATAATAATAATCCTTGCATTTGATGTAGCATTTTTCACGTCTTCGAGACGTCTCAAAGCGTTTCACACCATATGCTGTAAAGTGTATATAAATACTGTATATTTTGTGGTCCAAACGTGGCAGCCAATTGCGCACAGCAGCGTCCCATGAACAGTCGTGAATTGAAGTGACCAATTTATTGTTGGCTGTTTTTTTCTTGAGGGATTATTATCAGGCGTGAGGAGTAGGGAAACTTGCCCACGGTTTCACCCTGCTGGGAATCAAACCCAGGTCTCCTGCTTGCGAGGCAAGTGCTCAAACCACTGAGCTACAGGACTCCAAATATAGTTTGGGACACGACATGTCAAGCGACTGCCAGGATGGTGGAAGGCGAGTTAGATGGACCTTCTATCACCAGCAGATTCTTACGTTCTTATGGAACACAGGCGAGGAGGCTGCAGGTCTGGGCTGAGATACATGATCTCATCCAGGGCCAGAGTTGGATGATACTTTGGCCTCAATGTTCTTTGGGGCTTGCAAGGGCAATGTCAATCAGCGTTGGCTGCTCTTAATCATTAGCAGAAGCTCCTTGTGGGAAGTGAACATGTTTAGTTGTAAGGTGAGGACAGGAGCAGACTGTATCTGTGATATAGTTCATGTTGAATAGCAAGCCTTACACTTACCCCCAACATTCACGTTGCAATAATAGACACTGAGACAGCCCAGTTGAGAACTGTGGAACCATGGCCCAGCACAAAGCAATGGCTTTAAGTTAGGGAGAGGAGACATGTCGTGATTTTAATGAGATGCTAATACTAATACAAATTTCAGCCTTCATGTCGGGAGGATTTTCATAATTAAACTCCTGACTGGATTCTTTAATCAATTATAATTAATTCACCGATTGTTGTAATTGCACCGTTATTGATTTGTATATTCTTAGGCTTCCCGTAAGCTCCCTGTTAAACTCTGTTTTGTTCCTTTTGGGGAGTTGGGGCTCTTTTTTCCATGAAATAAATTGTTGCAATAATAATATGTCTGCTCCTGTCCTGTGTTGATCTTCCTGGATGGCCTCACTCCCACCTGGGGACCTGTGCTCATATGTCCCTCAGTCATTGTCTGCAGCCCGTGCTTCCCCTGTTCCTTCCGAGACCTGGAAGGGTCAAATATTAGGCCAAACCTCCGATCTTCATAGTCCTGCTCCGTTCCCGTGTGTGCAAAATTGCCAGCAGCTGTATTGCCAACTGTGTTGCAGCTGTGAAACAGCAATTTCCTCAGCATGAAAAATGTCTTATCACCGGTGGAGAAGCAATTGGGTAGCAAAACTCTACTCACCAGATGGTTTTCACTGCGACCAGGAATTCACTTGGTGGGTAATCTCAGGTGTGAACCTGCTCTGCCATTCCAAAGTACAGTACCAGTGAGACTGTGAACTGATTCAAACGCTCCATTCCGTGACACATCGTGTTAGAGAAGCTTTGATTTTTTTAAAAAAAAGTTGATGATGATAGATTGCACACTTCTGGGACGTGTTATTCACAGAGTTTTCATTTATGTTTTTCGTCTGTGGGGATGATTCTGCTGCTGCGACTGAAATAGAATAGTCCCTCATTAGATAAAACTGGAAATATCTGAAGCCGTGAGATTTTTAATGTGCCTAAATCGGTTAATGTTAATGTTATATGTATAACTATAATCTATAAAAGTAATCCTTGCATCTGATATAGTGTCTTAACGAGAGGTCTCAAAGTGTTTCACAGAACATACTGTAAAGTGGATTGACTGTGTTTTGTGTGCGAAACGCGGCAGCCAATTGGGCACAGCAGCGTCCCCACACTATACGGTAATAAATGAAAGAGGTATTCTGAATTTTGATTACGTTACAGTACAGTTTACAGAGGAAATACAGTAGCAAAGACAAGAGTTGAGTCAGAAAAAAATGAAGCCAAGCTTAAAGTATGAGAAGTTTAGGACTTTACTTGCAAGAATTTGCCTCAGATGGAATAGAGTCAGTGCCCGTCACACTCCTCAGTCGACACTGCCTCTCACAAGCGCCTGTTTGTGTTTTTGGAGCTCGGAGCTGTATTCTCTCTGTGAGGTTTCTAGGCGTGATTTTAATTATAATCTTTATCATTTGAAAAACAAACAGTTGTCTATAACAAAAGAAAACTGATCAAGGCTGAGGTGGAGAGCTATTTGTTAGGTCAGGGTATTAAGGGACGAGGAGCAGTTGGACTTGAGGTCCAGATCAGCCATGATCTTATAGAATGGAGTTTCACCCACAAAATATACAGTCAATTCGCTTTACAGTGTATCCTGTGAAGCGCTTTGAGACGTCTCGAAGATGCAATAAGGCGCCGTATCAAATCCAATAATTATTATTAATTAACAGGCTCGAGGGCTGAATGGCCTACTCCTGTTCCAATGTTTCTGTGAATTTGTTATAATCAACTTTAATATGAATCCACAGGCATGTGCAAATAAAATTTAAAAAAACACCTGTCCTAAAGTCTGCAGAAGCCAGATGGGGTGTAATACTGAGTTACGGCTTCACCTCTGGGTGGGAAGAATAGCACAACTCACTCCGAAAGGGACGTTTTATTATTTTTTATATTCCTTTCTTTTCTTTGTACCGTGCCAAAAAATAATTGGATTCTCTGGTGTTTGCAGGCCCTCCAGGAAAACGAGGCAGAGCGGGGAGGAGAGGAGTCCCTGGTAAGGTTTTACTATTTCCTGCCAAGATCAGATGGATTCTTCTTTTTTTAAAAAAAAAGACAACTGAGTAATACATTTCTCAGAAGTGACCTTAGGATTCGTGATGAACCCAACGCTTTTTTTTCTGTAGTTTTGTTGCTTAAACAGCTTTGAAGCAGATTGGGCAATTTGTTCAAACTGTCCTAAAGACGACCTTTATTTTTCCTCTGGACACCAGGCTGACAGGTTTGCTTTGTTCACGGATGCCAGAAATAACTGAGTTATTGGAACACTTCTTTTGTTTCAAAAAGTAGCTCCGTTACTTAACAGCAACCTCGAGTCGGTAATGGAAATTTCACTGCCTTGAGCTGGGATGTGGTTTGAAGGGAGTATATGTACATGTGATTGTTTTATGGTTAGTGAACTGTGAGATACTTTCAATGCCTTTATCGTGCCTCTTAATTACTTAATGGTTTCAGTTTCGTGCACTTTTAACATTTGTGGGCGTTGGGGAGATAACAGAACAAAATCTTGCACCAAATCCAAGTTTCCATGGTCTTTCGTTTGCCCTGCACTTTTCTATGAAAATTATTTTTGGGGTTTGCTCTAACCTGATCTAAATTTAATTCACTCCAACACCGATGCGTGTTCATGTAATTAGTCTCTCTAATAGTAATCAATAGGCCAACTGCTGCAGAAGGCAATGTCTCCCATGTTATTTTTTGGTGGTTAGGGTGGGAAGGGGAAAGGTGACTGAACGCACGGTCAAAGGGTTATGCCTTGAGATTAGTTTTAAAAGACAAAAAAAAGGTGCAATCAGTAGACTAGATTAGATACATACATCTAAAGTTTGAACCATTTTCAATGGAGGGAGTGGGAGAAAATAAGGAAAAGAGAGAATTGGGAAAATGCCACTTTTAAGAGTTCAATGTTTTCATTTAAAATTGTGCTCTAGGTGTTTATTTTTTTATTGTAGGAAGGTAATACTCTAACAATAAAGCTCATCCAGAAATTGAAGAGTTTTTTCTTTACAGTAATGTTAGTCTCAATTTCAAAAACTTGATGCATGGCCCAAAGAGACTGCAATGTACCAAACTTGGCTTAAAAATCTCAGCCATTTGTAAACAGAGAACATGGGTGTTCTTACAAAAATGCTTGAGTATGCTTGCAGGCAACATTACAAATGTTCTAAGCCCAAAGATACATAAGCATTCGTGAATGAAAGTTCATTTAAAAAAAAGTAATCATGCAAGTATCCTTGAAAAATGCAACTTAAAAATGTTTTGCAACGTAAAAAAATGATCGTGCGGCGACATGTGATGCATCACTTTGTTCATTATTTACAGCCTATTGGTTGGAAAATCCCTCTTGGCTTCAAGTATTTGTAGTAATTCTCTAATGACACTTAAGTGGGTAATCCATTTTGCAATTAAATGTCGGTGAAACTACTTCCAGAACCAAAAAGTAATAAAAGTGTTAGGAATATCCTTCAGTTTATCTTTAATTACTTAATGTTTTACAAATTTTTGAAAGTGTTCCAGTGTAATCTGTGAGTCGAACCTTTTAACGTTAGCCCGTTAATGAATAAGAGTTTCTACGCGCTGTTCACTTGTGAGGTCCCAACACAACTGCGGCAATAAGATTGTGTCCGTGGTAAGATGTTCAGAGTAAAGACTCTCTTTCACCTGTTTTCTTTGGAGGCAGCAAAGCAAGAGGTTTTATCAAGCAGACGTTGCTATCCTGATGTAGATCTCTTACAGGTTTAAACTGGAAGTTTAAAGTCAGCCTGTGGGTCAGGCAAGTCATTTAATTAAGGACCTTCTTAGCGGTTTGCAACTGCTCGGGGTTCAACTTTCACTATAAATCCGGGGGTGGGTGGGTGGTTCCCGTTTACTTCAGGTCATTATTGACCCGAACACAGTTCAATTTCAAGAGTTTGAAAATATAAACAGTAAAGAAGGCTTTAGTTACTAACTAGGTCCTTTTAGCTGTTTTTTAGTTGGTATCAATCCTACCAATTCCCAATTATTAATATCACAACCACCATGATAAATATGGATAATGAATACTCAAATGCAAAATATTGAAATACAGTAATTTACTGCTCAATAGTAATAATATTAATCCTTGCGTTTGGTGTAGCACCTTATCAGTACTTTTTTTGTTTTTGTTCCTACAAACACAGCCCCACACTCGACAGCAGTTAATCTCGAACCCCTTTGAGACATTTTGACGTTGCGATACCGTTTAAAAATGCCACTTCATCCTTCTGTGATCAAAACCGCAAATCAATAATTGACGATGAAAAAAAAACTTGACAGGGATATGATTGAAGAAAAATGTAAGATTTCATTTCATTCTCAAGACCCTCCTATTCGACCGCGCCTTTGGCCACCCTCCCTGCCCCCCACCCTCCTCCTGATCCCAACCCCCAGCTCGGGTCCAAATCCCCGATTGTCCAACGCCTTGGGACGTCCTCCCGACAGGAAAGACAACGTGCAAACGGCATTTGTCGCTGCCGTTGTTGTTGTCTAATCAAAAGTTGTAAGAATTGATCACAGAAACTTTGTGAGGTGCTTTGTGCATTTGTAAGCATTAGAGGTGATGGATGAAATGCAGGGATTATTGTTATTGGTACACGGGATATGCCGTTAAGACTTATTTGAATGGAAGTAACTGTGCTATGATATGATCTCAAATATCAGTACCTAACATGTCACTGGAATCTCTTTTAAAAGAAATGTCTTACCACGACCCACTGATCTGTGTGACTGTGGACACAGTTGTGTTTCGGGGAAAGATAAATCAGAGTTCATGCAAATCCCTGCTGTGTTGGCTGATTTCTATCTTCTTTTCTTTTGCAGGACCTCCTGTAAGTATTGTAGTCGTTACAAAATTGACCTGGATCCACTGAGTTAAGAAAACATTTTTTTTTCTTTCGCATTTTTTTTTTCTTTTGGTTTTTGCCATTCAGTCACAGTCTATCCGTATTTATTGTGATTTTTTAATAGCACATTCCGGTAAGGAACGTACACGTCGAGATGTTTAAGATATTGTATCTTTTTTTTCTGTCTGTAGGTAATCACTGAAAGATTATTTATTTTTTTGTATGTGTCGTGTGACTGGACTAAATATTTTATGTAAGTGCCTTAAGGAGCTACAGTAATTAAAGCCATACAATAGTCAAATCATTGTTAAAGTTTAGTTAAAGATTAGTATGTTTATATTCACAAAGATTAGAAACACGAGATTGTCCTATTTTTCTTTCTCGAGTACTGCTAGCTCACAGGGCAATTACAGCTGAGAGGTCTTGATATTTGTTGTTTGTTATTATTCTTTTTTTAACTAGAAAAATATTATTTTTGGAGTAAGGGTTGATTGTTTTCTGTTTTGTTGTCTTATTCGTTCCGCACTACAGGGAGATTCAGGACGAGACGGTTTTCCGGTAAATGGCCATTCATTTATAATCGCTTTATATTTTTCTCTACGTTTGCAAAGCAGACAAATGTTGTGACAATCTATAAATGGGGCGTGTCATAATATTGGTTTAGGAAATCATTGCTTGTGCGCATTTGTATCGGTCATAACCATAAATTATTGTCAAAATTCCTACCCCCTTTAGTGAAAAATTAATTTCTCACCAATATTCCTGTGCTTCACAATATTTCAGTTGCATTATCACTAGTTAAACTGATTTAATTTAGCGTCTATTGGTATATTCCCAATATTGTGATATCTCAGTTGAAGTTCAATTTCTTTGTTCTTTGTTTCTTTACAACCTCCTGTGATGTGGTGTGATACCTCAAATATAAAACAACCTTTAAAAATAATATACCAATCACTTAAACGAGTACAAATCCTGTTTGATTCTATTGCATACCTCTGACTAGCCTCTAATGTGCCAGTGCAAGCAATTCTCTTTTATTTTATTTTAAATAACTCATCAGAGATAAGTCTACCGGGCGCCGTCTTCGTTCACAGATACACAAAATATTCCATTGTAACCATCACATTTTGGTGTAACAGGGAATAGCTTTTTGAAAGCTAAAAGGTGCAGTTAAAAAAAAAACTAATGTTGGCGTCTTTGTACTGAGTTCCAAACACAGTCTTAGCTGGGCGGACTCCAGAGGTACTCCAATGCCCTAAACCTCGGCCAGGCTGTGCCTAATACCCTCTGGAGATAGGTAGGTAGGATACAACCAACCCCCAGGGAGAGAGGGCACATTCTGTCCCAATACGTGGGAACTTCCATGTACAGGGAGGATGGGTGGATCTCTGTTTGGTTTGGATACTCCTAAACTTTTTGCTGGGTTCCGCGTGTGTCAGGCAGACACCTGGCTGAACGTAAACAAAGTGGAAAGGAAAGAGAGAGATTGTACTTCTTTTTTAAAAACATGATACGAACTTGTAGATAACACGTGGGCTTTTTTCGAACCGGTGGAGTTTGTTTCTCATTCACCGGCCACTTCTAGGTATTGCTGTTCAAGGTTAGCACTCAGAGTCCTTCTGGAGGAACAAACCTTTTGTTTTTTGCAGAATGGTGAGACAGCTTTGCAAATCTGTATTCCCAGCAAATGGATTCACTCTGCAGTGAATTGTCACAATAATCTAACGTTCAAGTACATTTTTATTTTAAGTGTGCCAAGATATACACAATCCCTATTCTGACAACTTGGCATCAACAAGTGACCTAATGGACTAGACGTTTGCCAATTAATAGTTATCTGATATGTGGGAAGTGAGCACGTCAGCTGTGTGTGTGAACAATGAACAGGGTTCACAATACAACTGTGTTATAAGGAACTTTGTGCTGTGGGTGAAGTGCAATGCAGTGAAGGCTTCACTCTGCGAGGGCTTCACTCTGCGAGGGCTTCACTCTGCGAGGGCTTCACTCTGCGAGGGCTTCACTCTGCGAGGGCTTCACACTGTAAAAGCTGCAGAAACCAAACTTACAAATTGAATTGAAGAATTTAGGATTGGAATAACGTTAGACTATCTTCTTGCATTATTATATTCCTGGAACCAAAGTCACATTATTCGCTGTTGTGCAAAAGAGGAATGAAAATCTTGGGCATCTGTCTCATTGCCAACCTCGTGGAGTCCTGTAGCTCAGTGGTTAGAGCACTCGCTTTGCAAGCGAGACACCTGGGTTCAATTCCAGGCAGAGGGCGAAACCTTGGGCAAGTTTCCTTACTCCACACAGAGCCTAATAATATTCCCTCCAAAACCAAAAACAATAATAAATTGGTCATTTTCAATCCACGACTGTTTGTGGGACATTGCTGTGCGCAATTGGCTGCCGCGTTCGCCCACAAATATACAGTCAATTCACTTTACAGTGTATTCTGTGAAGCGCTTTGAGACGTCGAGAAGACATGAAAAGCTCTATATCAAATACAAGGATTATTATTATTATTACTACCCAAACTCAAGTCTTCACAGATTTAAATATTATTATTGCATACCTCCACCACAGTACACCCCAGCTTCCTCTCGTAATTAACGATTGGTTTATACCCAGTACTTGGAATAGTATCTGCTAATGTCATGTGTTTCCAATGATTTTTGCCTCCTCCACTGCAATGACAGTAACCATTACACTCTCTTGCAGTTTCAAAATATTCCTCTTTATTAAGTTCATTAAAAGCAGGTTAAACTTGGAATTAAACTGTCACTTTTTGATGTGCATTCTTTAGCTGCACGACTGTAATAGATCCACGTTAAGCACTTTGAGACATCTAGAAGACATGAAAAGCACTACATCAAGTGCGACAATTATTATTATTTTTATTATTGTGAATGGCTGTAACTGAGGCTTAAGAAGCCAAGTTTTTCCTCCTTTATTGGCTAAAGATTTTAACTGCATTTCTGGAAGTTGGAATGGACAAAGCGCGGTTTAGCTGAGTTTGGGTAATTTGTACAATGGCGTGATCTCTTGGCATTCCAACATTGTTTATGCAGAGCCACAATCTCACTAAAAGCAGCACACACGGGAATTGTGGAGCCGTTGTAAACACTTGCATAAAAATACTTGGAAACTAGCAGCAAGCAAACATTCGTTTCAACCTTCCTCCATGAAGAACATAAATGTTAATGGTACCACAACCGAACAGTAAAACCATTCAGATGTGTTACCTGATCTGGTCTATGAACTTGAGAAGGTATAAACTCCTAATTGTGATGGGGAACACGAGGGTTTCAATGTGAGATGAGAAAGTTTGACCTCCTTCTCTTAGCTACTGCCGGGGACCTTTGTCGAAGTCCGCAGTCGTTGTACGTTTACACCAGCACAGACCGGTCATCTTATCGAGTCTGAACTGGTCGCAACTCGAGTTGTACCAGTTAAAACTGGTTGCGTAATTAAACGATTTGTTTACCAGATGTGACAGATGGCTTGAGTTCAGAACTTCAACTCATTACAACTGGAACTTGTTCAAGCAATTTCCTACTCATCATACAACGGGACTTTCTAGCAGGGGATTAAAAAAAGAAGAAAAAAACATGAGGTCAAAGTAACCAGATCAAAAAGTGTGGAAGAAATTATGGAAAAGTAAAAATAATAATAATAACCCTTGCATTTGATGCAGCGCCTTATCAGGATTGCGAGACGTCTCAAAGCCCTTCACGGGATATACTGTAAAGTGAATTGACTGTATTTTGTGGGCGAAACGCGGCAGCCAATGGCACACAGCAGCGTCCCCACAAACAAATTCCTCGCGAGTCTCCGCCAGCTCTTTACCACCTCCCACACCCTTCTAAAAATGTAATGATAATAATACTAACTACTTGGGGGCAAATAGTGCAGTTGCAGATCAATTCAGTTGGCCACCAAAATGTATTGTTAAAGAAGAATGCCTTGTGAAGGGCGAATAGTTTAAAATAGATAGAAATGCTGAAGCCTGGAAGTGCAGGCTTAACATTTGTGACAAGAAACATGTTTGGTTTTATGTGGGGTCGTCCTGCAGTGATGTGTTATACCCTGTCTTGACGTTGCAACACATTTTCTGGTACTCATTTGTTTGAATACATGTTCCAAATGGAGCTGCAACTTTTAGGCTAACTTCTGTTTTTGCTTATTGGATATATGATTAGCAGCACCTGTTTGGAGGAGCGCACCTTGTGTTGCAAGAATGTGAAACTGAAATAATCCAGGACTTACACGTTAAACAATACAGCGCAGCCCATTTTAATGGGGTGTTTGGCATCTATAAGCATCCAACCCACAACTAGAGCAAGATGCAATATCGGTTTAACTGTACATCTGGAGTCCTGCAGCTCAGTAGTTAGAGCAAGCGAGAAGACCTGGGTTCGATTCCCGGGCAGGACGAAACGTTGGGCAAGTTTCCTTACTCCACACGCACACACACGCCTCTGTTTACCCAGCGGTGAGTAGGAACCCGGTTGTTAGCAAAGAAATAAAGAAAAATAATCCGGTCACTCAATCCACGACTGTTTGTGGGGACGCTGCTGCGCGCAATTGGCTGCTGCGTTTCGCCCACAAATATACAGTCAATTCACTCTACAATATATTCTGTGAAGCGCTTTGAGACGTCGAGAAGACGTGATGAGGCGCTGTATCAAATACAAGGATTATTATTATTAAGTGCGCAATTGGTTAACCGCTTAAAATAAAAAAGCCACCTTCCAGCTCATCAGTCCATCACAAAGTCACTTCTTGTCTTCTGCACGTGCGCTAAGCGAAATGTAATGTTTTCTAGCACTGAATGCTAAAATAATTGATATTCAATCGACAGGTTACAACACACATTACCTCCTGCCTTGTGTATGTGCAGCAAAGCATAAAGCAGAGTTGACGGCAAACTGATGAGCTGGCAGTAGGCCATTTTAGCACAAAAAAAATCTTGCCGCTTGCGAGGAGCGAGCAGGTGGGTCTGACGCATATGTAATGAACTGGGTCCACAGTGCAACCGCAATGCAAGAAAACTGTGCTCCAGCAACGTGAGCTTACAATGGGGTTTCACTGTGGTATGCAAGTATTGAAATAACAAACCCACTTAATCCCCTTGAAACAAATCAAAAAATCTGTTATTGCAAATATTTAATAATCGGTTGTTTTATTTATTCTGTATTTAAAAAGATTTCCCCTCTGTTTGCACGCAGTTCTTGACTCTTTTTGAACACAGTCCAAATCCCTGACTGTCCAGCCCCTCGGGTTGTCCTCCCGACGTGAAAGGCACTGTGTAAATGTCATTTTGTATTGTATAGTTTCCCCAACCAAGAGAGACCGTATAACTTGCTCGCGAGCCTCGCAGTGCCATTCTGCTGCTAATCCCAGCGGGTTTACGGCAAGAACAAATTACATCTGTACAGTGCCTTTCACTTTCTTTTCGAATGGTGCCCTGAGATCTTTACCCGAACAGACACAAAAGGTTGTACATTGCAACCAGGGCCTTGAAACTAAAGGTCAATTCAGCATGAGCTTGC